ACCCCCCACAAAGTACATACTATAAAGACGGTATAAGATGGTACAGCTTCCCCACTTTCGTCTGTCCGCATGAAAAAAATCAAGCTCATGTATTAATTAATCAATGCGCAGGCACTGCATGGCACTCTGGTAGGCCAGCGACTCAAGGGAGAAAAAAAAGATCTTGATCCAGTAAAAGTTTCTTCATTTGGGCACTATATCAAACAACCCCCTTTGGGTGCATACACAGGATCACTACAGCAAATGATATACAGTAACCTAGCCTACAAACTGCTCATTTTGAGACAGCGACACCACCCTGCCCCCACATGTTAGTGGATCCTAGTAGACTTCCTTGTTAGGCCAAAGGCGGAAATAATGCTCAGTGACATTGAAATTTCAACTATTGACCTGCAGTAAACGATACATTTCCAAAAAAGCAAGAACAGACAGATATAGAAATTCATTCGTACCAACTGCAGTGAGGTTACTGAATACACAGTGCTACAAATGAGAGAGAGAGAGAGAGAGAGAGAGAGAGAGAGAGAGAGAGAGAGAGAGAGAGAGAGAGAATGTTTTACGGAGCGGGTTGTCCCAGCACGCGAGACATGTATTTACTTGGCCCAATGTCCTGTCTTGTTGTGCGTTTGCGTGAGTGCACCTTTAAGTCTAACTTTTGTAACGTCTACTGCCATTGTTAACGACCAAGACAAATTTCTCCTTGCGAGATGAATAAAGATTGTCATTGTCATATCTCCCCGAGAGTCTGGAAAAGTACTCGGCCGTCAGTTGGACCGTGTGTCATAAGCTTGCGTAAAAGGGCTGTGTTGTGGTGTTCAGGAAAACAAGTAAACTTTTCGATGTTTAAGATGTGGGCTTGAAATCCTCTGTTATATTTTGACCCACTTTAGGCTAACATCAACGAAAAGGTGTCGGAACGGTAGTTCGCATTTCTAGATTCTGTTGGTAATCCAGTAGTTAGACACGCATGCAAAGATCAAAGAAGATAAAACAGAACGATTGCTGTTTATTTCGTTTTAACCACAGACACAAGACAGTGAACAAACTATAGCTTGTAATTTAATCATATTAGTGTTAGCTTTTCCTGGGCAATTTTGTGCTTTATGACAATGTACTTTTACTGGTCCAAATGTCCACAAATATTCCAGGTGAATCAGGTCTCTAAAGGTCTTTTAAGGGGAGACGTACACTCCCGGAAAAATTTTCTAAACGAATGACTTTTCTTCAATTTCAAGTAATTGTGCAAGAAGTTCATAGGTAAAAAGGATGTACTAGGGGTGAATTTGTTGATTTTTTCCAAAAAATGGGTCTCTGTGGCGGCCATCTTGGATTTTCAAAACAGTTTCTTAGTGCAGAAAAATTTCATAGTAAATATTGAAACAACAGTCTGGAATTTGGCACACAAGTACAAACCTATAGGAACTGGGGATCTATGAAAGGATTTTGACCTATCTTTAAAACTAAAAAAGTGAGCCCAGAGTCAGAGGACCCCCTAGAGTCAGTTGACGAAATTTCGGGGTAAATATTACAAAAAAATTGAATATTTCCTTACGTTACCAATATTTCCCAATTCCCTTTCATAGATCCCCAGAATTGATCTCAAAGCACCTGTACACCAAATTTGAAGCTTCTAGCTTCTGTAGTTTTTGAAAACTCCTTGCACCCAGGAGGTCACATATGTCAAAAAGTAGATTTTGAGAAAAACAGGGTTTTTTAAAAGGATTTTTAAAGCAATTTGCACTTTTCAAACGCCCTTTTAGGTCATTTAGGATGTTTTTTTCAACAGTTTCTTCATTTCGACTCGATAGCACTGATGTCATAGGATGTTTTTCTGCAAAAAACAAAAGTTGGACAGTTTGAAAAATTGTATGGATATTGCCTTGGATCGCCGACCCGGGTCTTCCCTTAATTAAATTCCTGCATGTCGTTGAATGATGCATCTGGTGTGATATGTACATTTTGCCAGCTTTACTTCTCTTTTCATATTGAATTTTAATAAGAGTAATATATGACTTAAATATCATATGTATACCTGCATGTGTTTTTACGGTCCTCTACAGCCAAGAAAAATTTCCCTCTGGGATAATAAAGTACTATCTTATCTGACCTGGCATCTCATGAGCATCTCGAAAAAGCTGTCGTCCGGCACCCTCTTCTTCTCCTCCGAGCCCAGGAGCTGGCCGATGACGTCCTGGGAGTTGAGGCCGGGGAAGCTGGGCAAACTGGCGCGCTGGTCATTCATCCGCGACGACTGGAAGCCGGCCACCATGTCCATGAGCTTCTCGCTGGCCGGTGAAGAGACTGCCGGAAGGAAACAAGCATCTGTACATAGAAGGCCGAGTACTTTTCCAGACTCTCGTGGAGATATGACAATGACAATCTTTATTCATCTCACAGGGAGAAATTTGTCTTGGTCGTTAACAATGGCAGTAGACTTTACAAAAGTTAGACTTAAAGGTGCACTCACGCAAACCCACAAGACAGGACATTGGGCCAAGTAAATACATGTCTCATGTGCTGGGACAACCCACTCCGTAAAACATTCTCTCTCTCTCTCTGTCTGTCCCTCTCTCTGTCTGTCTCTCTCTCTGTCTGTCTCTCTCTCTGTCTGGGTCTCTCTCTCTCTCTGTCTGTCTGTCTTTCTCTCTCTCTTTCTCATAAAACTAAACAAAAATATTTAAAAGGATCTTTCCCTTTCTCTCTGCTCAAAGATAAGAAAAAAAAAAAAAAAAAAGGGACTGGAAGGGGGGGTGGGGTTGGGAATTTTTTTGGAA